TACTTTGTTGAGAATGTGGCCATGTAATAAGCGGGATAATGTGCACATTGCATAATGTGCCTTCATGCCGATCTCGATCCCTCCGCTTCGCGTCGGGCTCCTGATCGGCCTGTCGGTGTTCGTTTCCCCATAATGACGCGTCGCTGCACATTATCCCTTACATAGGATTATATAGAGTCATTACTCATTTGTTTTAAAGCAGGAGGCGCAAACGCTTTCCTCGGGGAGGGAGAGAAAGAGCCACAGCGGAGAATAAACAGAAGGGCAACCATGGCAACCATGCAAGGGAAGTCTTCTTCGCTGCTTTTGTGGCAGACTACAGCGCCACTTACAGGCCTGGCATATGTACTACAGCGTCTCCAGCGCTTTCGAGCGGCAATGGCCGGCCGTCGCCCAACTTCTCATTCCCCTGATAGGTGGAGAATTGACCAATAGCCGTAGCGCCACTTTACTGATGTCAGGACAGTGTTCATATCTGGATCAGTCTGTATCAGATCCGTTGCAGTCCCTTTTTTAGAGATTTGGGTATAGAGGAAAATAGAGAGGGTTGTGTTTTCTGACACTTGGTGAGTTCCCTGACGCACCGGGGACACATATTCATGTATAAAAGACGTACACAAGTGCATTTTGCATAATAGGTCCCATTTAATATTGGGTATTTTATTACTTTAAAATACATTGTTGATTATCCTTTTACCTAAATAATATTTTCGATGCAGGTCTTTTAGTTTTTTTTAACCCATAATTGAATGTATTGATAGCATTAGTGTGTGTGTGTGTGTGTGTGTGTGTGTGTGTGTGTGTGTGTGTGTGTGTGTGTGTGGGTGTTTGTGTCGGTGTAGCAGAAGCGAGTGAGAGACACAAAAACAGAAACAAAAAGAGACAAAGAAGGGCGGGTTGTGTTTGCGTGGTGAGAGTGAGAATATGAGTGTTTCTGCTAGATAACGGGAGATTTGAGACAGGCATCCGTGGGACGGCCTTGGCAGACACAAAGCATCGCCCCCCCTGCATTCCTCAGACAGAGGGAGGAGACGGGAGATAAACAGAGAGTGGAGACCTCGCCTCATGGAACCGTTTCATCCTCTCTTCGTCCATCTTTCTGATCCAAACACACTGGATCTCAAATCGCGTATTTAGATTAGTTTCTGTTTGGAGTGAATACGTGTGTCCTTAGCAAGTATGGCAACATGCAGTGCACTATAGAGTAGTGCATGAACGAGTCCTAAAACGCAGGTATTAGTCAGCATTTTAGCACTTCTGGTTCCCTTGCGTGTCAATGTTACTTGAATATGTTTTGGTTGGATGCCTGAAGTAAGTTCTGAAGTTTACACAAGCTGAACAAGTTAAACAACAATGAGACTAATAAACGTCATCACGCCGAACATTAGCCGCATTTAGCTTAGCGGTGGTGGCGTGAAGTCATGTGACCGTGCTCTCGTTCCTTTATAGCCTAACGTTAGCCTTTTACTTCTGGTGATTGCAGTTACGCTTGGTAAGTGAGTGGTGTTAATATGTGGAGATTATCCTGCTGAACAAAACGTGTTCGTATCACGTGTGTTTGCCACAGATCTTATTTTCTGAAACATTGTAAAACCCAAAAGGGAACTCTTGCTGGATTTTTGCAGAGGGAGCTATGTGATGATAACTTGTGGTTAGGCTTACAAACATACATGAGTAACCAGATGGTGTTCTCTTAACAGCTTAAAAGTTGTGTGTGGAACGCTGGACACACTTTATATCGCAACGATCGCAATCTACGTAACAAAAGTGGCTAAGGTGAACACTGCATTATGCAAACAAATAATATATGTGGGATGTTTTCACTATCAAAGTAACGTGTTAGTTTACTAGAGGCAAAAAGGAATCCAGCATTGATTGTAGGGGTGTTGAAAATAAGCGTTTCTACGATGCATTGCGATGCGGACGTGGACGATTCGGTCTCGATGCAGTGACGGAAGATAATCGGTTATAGCGTAGTAACGTTGCTTCCTGATTTTCCGGCCGCGGCTTTACTATAACGTTTTTTTTTCTGTCACTTTAATATCAAATCGGTCGGTGACGCAGAGATCAGGGAACAGACGTGACAGCGGCACAGCAACACCAAACACGGAGCAGTCTGCTTTATCCACCAACACAACACCACCAGTCCAGAACCAACAGCAGAAGGACCCGCTCTGAATCACTCCGTGTCGCTGCGGCTCAGACACACAGGGATTTATGTTTTCAAAAATAATCGCGTTACAATCATGTCAGGTTTTTGGTGCATTTAATTAAGTCTTGGATTGCAGAGTATGAATGTCCTCTAGCAATTTTCAGACGATATATACGTGTGTAAAGTTTGTGAAGGCAGGAGGAAAAAAGCTTCCGCGATCACCGTCTCCTCTCCGTTCCTCCAAGCCCCGCCCCCTCCTGAAAATAATGAGTGACAGGCTGACAGTGATAAGGATAGAAACTTTATTATTCACTTAATCACTGAGATATAATGAAGCTAATTTAATCTCATACATTCATGGGATTTATGTAACAGTAAGACAGAGAATGTAAGTGTGCACCCACATGCACTATTTTAGTTGTTATATGCTGTTGTAAATACTCCTGTTGTCTGCTGTGTTCAGACTCAAGTCCTGTGTGTGATGCCACATTCAGGACATTCAGTGTCCTTTCTTTAACAGAAGACTGTTGCTAGAAGCTGCAGCTAGACTGCAGAAGCATTAGTTTTTTGTTTTTGAGGATGGAACAATTTCACACACAGATATAGGGAGGCTAGACCTATACAATTCATTTATTTTGGTTTATAAATGAATGTCAAGACATTTATGTTATTGATTTCTGAAGCACTTTCTAAATAATAAAAAGAGAGTTCATATGTATTTACTGCATGTATATATGGATGAAAAATAAGCCATGTGCAGTAATATAGAAAATTGAGGATGCAACGCATTGGTATGAATCGTGATATCGAATTGAATCGAATCGTTGACAAGATAATCGTAATCGAATCGAATCGTGAGACCAGTGAAGATGCACAGCCCTAATTGATTGTATAGGGTTGTTTGAGCAGCCTGAACAGCAAATGATTATTGCTATCAAGCTAGCGAACAACGGCAATCGTCACTTCTGGAGAGGGCACAGCAGCAGTGTGAGATATGAGACTGGTTTGAAATTCATGTACTGCTTTAGTGTTAGAGTGCAGTGTAGGAAGGAAAGTGTCCGAATCGAGACACGGCGTCCGTCTCCTGTCTGGGCTTCACTCTCACGATCTACGGTCAAGTGGACGCCGCACACAGGGCTTTTACGATGGACTGAATTATTGATGATGTTGAAATCAAATCCAGGTTCTCTCTCTTTTGTACAGTGTGTGATTTAACTCAGACGATGCATATATTGTGCGAGAGCCAGAGGCATATTCGTTTACAGTTATTGTGTGTCGAGGAAACACAGTAGCAACACAACACCGTGGAAAAGTGTTAAAGGTCCCATGTCATGGCCATTTCTACTGATCATAATTCCATTGTTGAGGTCTACTAGAACACATTTCAATTGTGCAATTTTCCAAACTCACATTGGTTTCTCATCCAGCATCTCTGTAAAGTATATGTAGCTCCTGCCCCCCCCCCTGCTCGCACACACACACACATACTGCTGCGATCTGCTGCGAGGAGCAGACAGGCTTGGCGATACAGCGAGAACAAGCTAAACTCATCCTGAGCACACACAAACACTCACAGCCGAAGTAAAAACAATAATATTGATATTGAGTAAGAAAAGTTGTGAGAATGGGTCTGCGGAGAGCATTTCTCCGTGATCCCAACTTAGTAGCCGAAAAACGTTTACCCATTTAATCAGTCGTGGTAGATACCTTGTTTGCTTTAAACATCATAAATACACAAACAACACTGAATGCTTACAGGTTGTGTACCCGAATCTCCCGCTGGTCCAAACAAAGTAGGAACAGCATCGTTCTTCAGTGCCCTACGCTGTACATATCCGGCATGAATCGCTGAAAGGTTTGGGAAGCTTTGTTTCGTGAAATGCTGGCAGAGGGTGCGGCCATAGCGCTGGGCGTGGCTACTGGGTATCCCTATGTAGCGATGCCCAGGAAGAACATGAGAAATCTCCAACGAGGCGTTTTGGGGAGGTATTTTCTGTGTTACGGTACGTCCACACAGCAGCGTTAAAAAAATCTTGGAGGTGGGTGTATCTGAAGCTTGGGGATTTTTTGCGAGCAACGCGACCAACAACCAATCACATGAATCTCCCGCCCCCCGACATACAAAGCAAAAAACTACTACTGTCTATGGTGCTATTTTATGCTACATTCCATGCTGGCTAAATATACTGTCTATGCTTGCTAGCAATGTTAAAACGAAGTAAACTGGATATAAAATCCCCAAACAGGCGAAAACCTACCAGTTTCACCCACTGTCTCTGCCACCTCCCTCCATGCCTGGTTCCTCCGGTTTGTATCCCGGTAACTAAATAGGGACTGGTCATAAAGAACCGGGTGATTTGCTACCGCAATAACTAATTTCTCCTCAATTTTGTTAGGAATATAGAAATGAACTGCGGTATGTCACTCCCAGCTTACATGCGGTTTGTTTGGCTAGCGCTTGTACTGTCAGATTTGCATAAATGGGATTTGATTGGCTGATGCTTCCACCTCAGCTTCAAAAGTTGAACATTGCTCAACTTTTGAAGCCTGAGATGTCTGGAAATCACCGCTTTGCTTCCCACAATGCAGTTCGGCGAAAAGCGAGGCAAAGTGACGTCACCCCCATTCAAAGTGAATGGGCAGAAAGCGTTGGAAGATTTTTTAACGCTGCTGTGTGGACGGGCCTTTAGAGTTTTACGCGCTACAGGGTGTACTTTGAGGGTTTTTGACTCTGCAGACCGTTTACATGCAGAAAAACCTTCATAACACAGAAGGGGACGGGTAATAACCAGAAAAGCATGACATGGGCCCTTTAAAAGACCTAAATAAATACAGAGAAGTGACTGACCTTGCGGCAGCGAGGGTTGGGGCAGCTGAACAGAGACATGTTTTTGTCCAACAACGCTGGGAAAGTGCAAAACGGACACCTGAAAAGGAAAAAGAGAGGAAGGAGGGTTAAGGAGGGAAAGATATGACACATTGCATTTGAGACACAGGCACAAGAAACACATCATAATCAACAAGGAGACATTTCAGTTCTCTTACCAATCCCTTTTATAGAGCTTAGATTTAAATGCATCAATACTGACCTAGTGCACAAGTTTCAAATGATTCATTTGTCTCACATTGGAATACAAACCATTCTCAGGGTATATGCAGGAATCCTGAAGTCGAATGTAATACCTTTTTTTAAAGACCCTTCGCACGCACGCACGCACGCACACACACACACAATGACACAGACACACACTTACCGCACAAGTTCATCAGCGCAGGTGGCAGCGACCGCCTCCTCCGCCTGCCTCTCGTAGTATTTACACAGGATGTTCTCTGGTAGGACCTTCTCCAGCTCACACACCGGGTAGGAGCACGGGCAGCCGCTCTCCATGCAGCTCAGCTCCGACTGCAGCACACACACACACACACACACACACACACACACACACACACACACACCGTCATCACACGACTCCTGGCAACGTTAGCATGTCATATCTAAATGTGAGAAGAACAAAGTGTGTGTACCTTCCCCGAGCCGAACACGGCCTCCTGAGCGTATTTGACGAGGCACTCTTTACAGAACAGATGTCCGTCTGAACACTGCGTCATCTTCTCGAACGCAAACTCCCCGTAGCAGCAGCCGCACTCGATCAGCTGCCCGTCCTGGAGAAGAATCACACAGACGTATTTTATATAGCTCAGATACTTAAATAAACTGTTCCACACTTGTCAGGGATCATCGTTGTACATTTAGTAGAAGTCTCAAAGTTAAATTAACCTATAAAGCAACTATTCTGCAAATGTTTTAAAAGTACATTTCTTTCAGCGAGGAGGAACTCGCCCCCCCCCCCCTGACTATTTACTGTAGTGTTAACCATTCTGTATGTTTGCCTTATATGTCCTTGTCCCCCCCTCATATGCGTGCATTTTAAGGTGTCCTGAAAGGCACTCCATTATTTTACCCAGGGAATTTGGAAACTTTGAGAAAACCAATGTTTGAATTTGTGGAATATACAAGAAAATAGAGTTAAAATTCTCTTATCAAAATGATGATGGAAGCGAAGATTGATTGGGCTCTCCTTACTCGTGTGAGTTTTGCGTCTGCATCATTTTATGTTTACTTAAACCAGTGGTTCTCAAAGTGTGGGGCGCGCCCCCCCTGGGGGGCGCAGAGGCATGCCAGGGGGGGCGCGAGAGACCAGGAGGAAAAATTGTTATATATAAAAAAAAAAAAAAGATTTAAAAAAAAAAAAAAAAATCATAATTTGAAAAATTATTGATTCGAAAATAATATGATGCAGTACTATTACATCTGGGTCTCTCTGTTTCATTAAAGCTCGGCTCTGTGTGTGTGGAACGAGCCATTTTGTGTGCGCGAGAGAGAGAGAGAGCGCACCGGTACCGGAGATCGTTGTTGTTAGCTTCTGGTGCTAGCGAGCTACGCTAACGGATATAAGGAGTTTTTTCAACAACAAGGTGGAGGAGAGTCCTCTCCTGTCAGACTGAGAGGCTCAGTGAGCTAAAGGACTCTCAGTGTTATCTCAGTGGGTCTCAAACGTTTTGGTCACCATTAATGTAAACAATTATTTCCGAGGCACACGTTTATATGATCATTATAGTTATAAAAAAATAAGAGAATAAATGAAAAACAGGTTTGAAATACTATATGACAGTAAAACATGAATAAAGTTTAAAAGGGTGATTTGTAAAATATCCATAAAGAAAAAGTAAATCTGTTTACAGTTCTGTTTCAAATGGGTGTTGAGAGAGGTATCCATAGATCTCTTCATGTTGCTCTCAAAGTGCACCAGATTGATGCTTTAACTTCAATATTTAAAAATAAATCTTCCCGGGGGAGCTTGCCCCCGGACCCCCCTATGTGAGGTCCACACACCACCTGTAAAAATAGCACTTGACCCCTGCTTACACCTATATGCCGTGAGCTGATGATCGAGCCTTCATTGTAACAGTCACACTGTGTATATGCGTGGGGAGTGTTGCAGTAGAACATTCCACTGTAGCGCCCGGTACATTAATGGGAAACCCTAAATGTTTGAGCGCCCTCTATGAAACGTCAAGCTACCCCACAGCACCCCCAAAATAAATCTCTGGCGCCGCCACTGAGCCTGACTATTTGTGTTGGGGGGGCCCGACTTTTTTTTTTTCTCCAAAGGGGGGGCCTGACAGAAAAAGTTTGAGAACCACTGACTTAAACTATCGATGCTGGCGAGGAGGCGTGACGTATCTCCATGTAGATACCAACAACAACAAGATTAACATACTTTACCGTGGTTAAATGTAAAACACATATCAAAAATGATGCTGAAAAAACACCATACTGATACAGATTAGTAAAAACCATGAATGAATGCTTTGGCAGGTATGTCCGCAAGATGCCACGCAAACAACTTCTAAAATGCATGTTTGCTAAATGGAGATGGGACCGATCAGGCTGGACGGTTGGAGCTCTGTCCACACTTGAAACAACTTCAATTAAGTGATTTTATTTGCTTGTTCTGCAGTTTGTGTCATTGTGAAGGTGATTTCAGTTTGGTGAACGTATGCGTGCTTCTTACCATCTTGTACTCGTCTTCATTGACCTGCAGAGCCAGTAGGAAGTCCTCATGCTGAAGAGAGAGAGAGAGAGAGAGAGAGAGAGAGTTTGGTTAACTGGGATATCACATGACCATTATTTAATTCAGAAATCCTCCACATAGAGCCAGCTGAGTGTGTACCTCGGCCCACTCCTTGGCCTTCTGCTTGTAGAAGGTTAGCTCATTCTGCACAGAAGCTTCCAGACTGTTGTACGTCCTGCAGTAGCGTCGGTCGCTCTCCAGGAAATACATCCTCTTCTCAAACTTCACAGAGCCTGCTGGAGAGAGGGAGGCCAGTGAGTGATGGGACAGCTGAGGAGCCATGGCAACATCCATCACCGACGGCTGACAGGCATCCACCCCCGAGCTCCATCATCCAGGTTTGACCCCTCCCCCATCCATCCATAAATCAGCTCCCTTAACAGCAAACTAAAAACAGCTTTTCAAGAACACGGAGGGCGTTTCTCAATGTCGAGGAAGGATGCTCCTGAGCCACTATTTCAAGCATACTACGTCATCGAGTGCCGCCGAAGGACTGTTCCAATGTCCAGCATACTTGGAATTCTACCAAGGCCGGCGTACTTCGTAGCGAGATATTTCGAGGCTGCACATGTGTGGACTCCGGTCTTAAAATCCCCACAATGCTTTGCGCACGGACCAATTTCCAAATCTTTGGCGGAAATCACGCTCCATTTAAGGCGGGGCCTCGCATATGACGCACACCTGTTAGCCTGTTCCAACATTCTTTGTTTTCCGAGGCTAGGAAGGATTCTTACCTCGCTTCTGAAGCAAGTGATTCGGAAGACATGTGCTACCAAGCAAGCGTCCTCGACATTGAGAAACACCCAGAGACTATAAAATGTCCTGCAGGTTGACACTGAAGCCTTTGCGAATGGAAGAAGCATTTAAACAAACAGCTGCTTGTTTTAAAAGGAACCGCACAATAGGGTTAGCAGTTATTAGAAGTGTTGATAAGTTTGTTCACCGTGCTCAAAATGAAAGTCTACGTAGCAGCGCTCGGAGGAGGCGGCTCTGCTTCTTTTTCTCTTTCCTTCTTTGCCTGATTCCTGCCACTTCTTCAGCGCTTCACATAAGGCCTATAATGAACAAAGCACATGTATGAACAACCCAAGTAAATCAAAAGAAAGAGATGGCAGTGCTCAGACGAACCAAGAGGCCACAGGTACCTTGCGTGTGATTGCATAGTGTCCCTTCAGAGCGTTGAGGGACCATTTGATGTCCTGACAGCTGAGCATCCTGAAGTCTGCCATCAGCAGGTCGGCCGCCTGCATGGACGCCTCCAGCCCCACCGTGCCCAGTTTGTTAAAGTCAAACAGGTCTTCGGTCACCTGGAAGGACCCAAAACAGACGCATAAACACTTTACTCACCAAGATATCTGATTCAAATGCAACTAAAGAAATCATTAAATCAGATTGGAATAGAGTGGTGCAGGGATGACGTATTTACCCGGAAGTAAGCTGCGCATGGGTTCCCTCGACAAAAAAGCAGTGGGATTTCTCCATAGGATTTTGAAAATAGCTCGAAATAAGATCTGTGGAAAACTAACCTGTTTGATAAATGCACGTTTTGTTCAGCCGGATAATCTCCACATGTCTACCCTACTTTTATCGTTTTCTAATCATAAATCTAGTCGCCAGAAGCAAAATGTTATGCTATAAACGAACTACAGCCGAGTACAGCAGCACGACTTCAACATCACAACAACTTAAGATCCATATTCAAAAAGTTGAAGCGTTTGTTTGAACAGTTTGCAGGAGGCAGGGACTTGCTTTCAAGCAGAACACGGCAAAGAAGTGTTTACGTGTTCGGTGTAATGACGTAAAACGGCCTCGACAACTTCTGTAGTCCTATTCAGCCACTTGGTAACAACCATCGTTTTTCAGACACGTAAACTCTTCAGAAATCACCAGCGGGGTCACTGCTGATGTGTTTAATGTCGTAGAACAAAACGTGATCCATCTCTTCAATGTGTTTCAACCACAGACCTTATTTCCAGCTATTTTCCAAAATGCTATGGAGAGATCTCGTTGGCTCTGAGACGAGGGAACCGGTAAAATGCTGACTCACTTCCAGGTTTTAGGACTCGTCACAGCACCACTCTATTGACACTGTGCAACGATAGTGATTTGACACAGCCTTTTGCAGCTGAATCATCAGGTGTCAAGGCAAGTACGTACTTCATCTGCTGTTTCTGTGTGAAGAGTACATTTTTGCATATAGCACTATACGATAATACTTGAATGGTCAGATCAAGTCTGAAATGTGCCTTGCATCACAGCAGCTCCATGTGTAACATCAACACAGACAAATATCAAGACAAAATACATGAAAAACAAACATAACAGCACAATCAGTGAGCGAAAACCTGCTCAAAGAGCCTTCAGCGTGCATTTGATCTGGATTCAGCTCTGTATTTACTGAGAGCACACACAAATCAAATCAAGTTTTATTTATAGCACATTTATAAACGATTTTTGGTCGAGCCAAAGTGCTGTACATAAAATAACACACACACACACACCTCTGTCTGGGTGTCTCCAGACTCCAGCAGGATGCTGGTGGGGGCTAGGTTTGCTGCACCCCCGCCCCTCGGATACTCCGGGTTCTCCAACAGCAGGTTACAGATACTGAGGACACAGCAATAAGAGAAAGGAAATCACTTACTCATCATAAAACTAAGCTAGAAGACAAAGGACAAAATCATTCAACAGGTCTTTTTGGAATTTCCTGAAAATCTAAATCAGTTTATTACTCCTCACTTAATATGAAGTACAGTAGAAACAAGTTGATGCTTCTTACACATTCAAGTCCATCACAGTATTAGTTTGGATCAGTTCTGCTACATAGGCTTCTAGGACGTCTGGGAAAAGATCCAACTGTAGAGGCAGACAGAGTTAAACAGGAGGAAGGTGAGGATCAGTTATACCACAATGTAAATCATTCAGAGTCATCAAATATCAACTATCCATCATGATGTAGATAAGCCATGCAGAACATGCAAATACGTGAACTCTTAGCGATACCAGGGTTGAATCTCAAAGCCATTTCAGAATAAGTCTTAAGATAAAAATGCTTTTTTGTTGAAGGTCTCACATTTAATATCCTTCATAATTTACTTTGAGTTGAGAAAGTTATTACATTAGTCATTTTTTTTTTTTTTTTTAAATTGTGTCAGCTGTTACTTATTTAGCCTTAGACTCTTAGTCCTGTGTCAAATGGATCTTTTTCCGCCATCAGATGATATCAAAACAAACATATTGAGTCTGAATGCACACTGTGTGGTACTCACCACCCCAGTGATGAGGGCTCTGACGTGGGGCAGCAGCTCGGCCCTCCCTCCTGCTGCGGAGGGGCCGGGCCTGGCGTCCTCGATCCGGGGGGCGTCCTCCGCAGCGGGCGGCACGGCCACCAGTCCCAGGGCGGGGTTAACTCTTTCTGGGTTTGGAGCCGGAACGAGACGAGCGTTTCCCACGGCAACCAAAGCTGCGGGAGCTGGAGGAGCGGGAGCATTCAAGACTAAGTTAGGGGCCCGGATGTGGAGGCTGATGGGGCCCCGCTGGTGGGACCAGGCTGCTGGGAGCCCTCCGGAGGGGCCGGCCTGCGGGGGGGGCGTTGGGAAGGTGCTCCCCGGGCGCTTGGCTCCCTAAGATGATCCGGTGACCCGCCTCAGGAGGGCCCAGTCTCTCCGGGGCTGCAGCTATTAGCACTGCAGGGGGGGCGGCCGGGAACACCTGAGGGGGGGGAGGGGGGTGGGCTGCAGGCTGGGCAGGGGCCTGAGCCAGGGGCCACAGCTCCATCTGAACGAAGTTCCCCTGCAGGCGGTTGAGCGACACCGGCTGCAGCACGTTCTGAGGCCGGAGCTGCAGCTGCGGAGCCGAGGCCTGGGTGCTCGGGTGCTGCGGAAGAACCACTATTTTGACCCCCGACACGATGACGCGCTGCTGTACGGTGGAGATGGTGGGGGGGGGCTGTGAAGATGTACCGGGCTGAGACAGCGTCCGCGTTTGAGCAGAGGAGGTGCTGGCCTGAGGGTTGTCATGTGACTGAGCGCTCGCCTTTTCTTTAGTCTTAGTAGAAGAACTTGATGCAGAACGATAGCGTGTGGCACTGAAGGAGGAACTCGCCCCCCCCCTGACTGAAGAGTGTGTGAGTCCAGATGTGCTGGGCTGAGGCAGATGTATTCCTGGTGTAATGGATGTGTTGGCGTTTGCAGAGGTAGATGGGGTTTGGATGGGAACTGCGTGGGGTTCCTCTTTTGTGTGTGCTGGCGTACCGTCCTGGTGCTGCGAGTTCCTGTTGGGTTTTGGCTGAGAGTGTGTGTGTGACGAGGTGCCGGGGTGTGACTGTGTGTATCCACTCGTCTGCACCGCTGTGTGTGTCCGTGCGGCCAGCCTCGCTGCGGAGGAGCTGGCTGTGGCGTCTCTGGAGGTAGAGGGGGCGGGACCAGGGTCCGCTGAGGGAACCCCAGGAGTTTCGCTACTGTGATCGAAAACCTGAACCGGGACGCGCAGCGCCCCACTCCATTTTGCGGCTGGGCGAATCACGTGTTTGCGAGCAGGTGTGAGCAGCTACAGGAAAACACAGGAAGCAAGAGAGAGGAGTGGATAGATAAATGGAAACAAAGATGATACTTCTGCAGCTGCTGTTATCGATAGGAGTCAAATGTAGCCCATGACTGCTGTATATCAAAATACAAGTTTAAACTTGTCTAAAAAGTTTACAAGTGTTGTACAAAGTAACAGGGTAGGGGAGCATAATTCATCAGAATTGTATCATAGTCTCAATATAGGAGTAGTGCAATATTCAAATCAGAGTGAACTATTTTGGAGCTGCATAGTGATCCGGCCTGCTATTGCTATTCCTGAGACTTAATATTACATTGCATTTAGCTGGTGCTAAGGGAAACCATAAGGGTTCAAACTAAGGGCAACACTAAGGACAATCTTACAATCTCAGGACGCATGAGGGAGCTGGGGCCCATTCCAATAGTCCATTTAGCTTAGGAACCTTCCTAACAGAGTGAAATGACCCGGAAGTCCCTCAGTGGCAGCCATGATAAGTGCCGTTCCAATTCTCTAGATGATAAGAAAGGAGGTTTCAAACTTCCTTTATAACCTCCTTTAGCTTAGGAACCACTGGACCTCCCTAACCGAAAGGAGAGGAGAAAATGCTGCCCCACAATGCATTGCAGCCGCAGCATTTGCCGTCACTCAACAGTCGGCCGTTCACGGAAACAACCGATTATGACGGAGAAATGATATCATGAAAGTTACGGTGCTTATTAAGCTTTTTAAAACGTATGTGGTAAGTTGCCAAAGTGCTTTGTTTTGAACGTTCATCAGTATTATAATCAAAAAGAGAAATATGAACGTTAGTTTTTACTGAAATTATCCAATAAAGTTAACATTTCAGTCTTTACTGAGCTGTGGGGTTTGTTCAACTTTTAAAAGATGTTTGAATGGTGATATACACAGTTATAGATGTTAAGGACTACAGTGTTTCCCACAGATATGAAATATACTTGGGCGGGTGGTGGCAAGGGGGGGGGCGCGAAAAAAAAGAAAAAGTTTTAACAACATTATTTATTGACTTTTCATTCCGGTATAATCATTTTGCGCAAAGATGGCACTGTTTGTCAGAGCACTTCATCCTTCTGGGATTTCATGAAGAACAGCTCCAACGCCTGTGTGTATGGGAATGCCTCTGGTGCTGGTCCATTAACTGCCAGTGTTTCCCACAGATCTGAAATATACTTTGGGGGGTGGTGGTAGCGGGGGGGGGGTTGAGGTGACATGCAACAACATTAACCTTTCTGTTGGTCGCTTGTTAGCAGACCCTTCACGCGATGGCAGAGCGAACCGGTACAGGTACAGGCAGGGTCCATAATGATAGCCCTATAGTTTAAATCTACTACCCACACATGAACATATGGAAATGGGTTACTATTTTAAAAAAAAAATGTATTTATTAATGTATTTAGGAACCTATCCATGTGATTTTTAGTGGGGGTCGACCTCAAATCCTCTAGGGGGGTCCAGGGGCATGCCCCCCCGGTAAGATTTTATTTTTTATTTTGGAGTTAAATGCATCAATCTGGTGCATTTTGAGGGAAAAATAAAGAGACTAGATCTATGGAAACACCTATATTTAACAGAACTGTATACATTTCAATAATCATAAAATCATGGCCATAACCAATAACATCCCATTTCCAATATGAAAAAAACACTGAAACTTGTTTATTAATTTAGTTTTGGTTCATTTATAGTTGTGAGTGTGTCTGTGCTCCTGAATCAGCCTCTCCTGTCTCCCTCCTCTCCCCCCTCTCCATCCTCTCCCCCTGCTCCTCTTTGAGGCAGCAGCAAAGACTAGTTTTCTCTCAACAAGTTTTAAAAGTGTATCTTACCTTTTTTCACCTAGTTAACTTTTTATTTATTTATTCATGCATATTTTACTAATCACATTACATTTCATTTAGCTGACGCTTTTATCCAAAGCGACTTATAATGACCGATTACAGGGACATTCTCCCTGGAGTAACTAAGGGCTAAGTGCCTTACTCAAGGGCACACTAGTGGTGGTGTTCCTGGCGGGATTTGAACTCACAGCCTTCCGATATTCAGCCCACCTCACTATCCATTAGATCAATCACTACCCTCTCAAATGGAAATATGTGTTTACATACTGTAAATGGTGACCACACTGTTTGAGACCCACTGATAACTTAAACTAAGTTAACTATCTAAACACTCAGAGAGTCCTTTACCTCACCTGAGCTGAGGTTATCCCGAGCTTGAATGACACAGAGACCAATCAAGGGCTTTGATTTATGATCTGTATGACAGTGGCCATGTTGGCAGGCCACATCATGTGGACAGCCAGTCACCCTGTGTGAGGCAGGCCACTTAACAGGCCAGAAGGAGGCGAGATCAGAGCAAGGGAGCGAGGGATCATTGTCGACAAGTTAATCGATCGCAGATGGCGTCGTGGTCACGGACGAATAAAAAAAAAAAAATCCAAAAATTTTTTTTTATAAAAAAACTAAAAAAAAACTAAAAGGGTCGCGAAATATACCTGGGCAGCCGTTAATATACCTGGGCAGCCGTTAATATACCTGGGCAGCCGTTAATATACCTGGGCGGCCGTTAATATACCTGGGCGGCCGTTAATATACCTGGGCAGCCGTTAATATACCTGGGCAGCCGTTAATATACCTGGGCGGCCGTTAATATACCTGGGCAGCCGTTAATATACCTGGGCGGCCGTTAATATACCTGGGCGGCCGTTAATATACCTGGGCGGCCGTTAATATACCTGGGCGGCCGTTAATATACCTGGGCGGCCGTTAATATACCTGGGCGGCCGTTAATATACCTGGGCGGCCCGCCCAAGTATATTCTATGTGTGGGAAACCCTGGACTAACGTTTATAATAAATACATTTGTATTGATTTTAAGATCTTTTCATCAATCATACGTATTGGGATCATTTGTATTAATGTGGACCGGAGGGAGAGGGTGACGAGCATAAGTTTCACTTTCCTTTTTTATTTCAATTCCAACTTTGGTCATGAAGAATATGTTTCTCTGTTGTCCACGTTCATAAAGCAAAACAACAGCATCAGAGCACGGTGCAGAGTCTCTAGATGAGTTTACAGTAGTCCCTCGTTCTTATTAAACATCCATGTTGTAGTCCGCTGCATAGAAAACTGTAGTTTCCATGGTTACCCCACAGCAGCAGACGCACATTCATGACGTCCGCTGGAGCATCATAAACACGTCGGAAAGTGAAAGTGCAGTCGGATTCTCTAAAGTACCGCAGTCTCTTCTCCTAAGTCCTTTTGAATTCTCCTATCCACTATCCCTTAACCCCGTGACGTTTCACTCAGAGGTCAAGGAATAGGAGATAGGGTTAGAACTTAGGAGCTGATTTTTGGATTATCGGAACGCAACCCAGGACTGGAGAGGCTTTCCTGCTCGTCTGTGTGCTCTTTCAGAAGCAGCAGTAATTAGTCTTCACCTGAGTGTGTCCTGATCACACCTGCTGTCTCTTCCTCCAATCAGGAGCATTTGGTGACAGGCAGGTGAATGCTCATTCGCCCTCTAGAGGGCAGTGTTTGGGCAGCACAGGGAATTCACAACAGCAGGGATCCTCTTTGATATATATAACAAATGAAAGAACAGGGTTTATCACTCACCTCTAATATGCTGACGTCGTCATCATCTGGAACTAAAACAGGGCTGCTCGGTACCAGAGTCACAGGCTCCTCATCCGAGTCATCGGAGATGGTGATGAGCTCCCTCTTACGGGAGCGGGAGCCTACAACGAAGGAGTAAATATTAGGGTTTGTTTATTGTGTGGCTATTTATGATTATAAGTGTGTGAACAAGAGGAAGAAATAGATTATATATTATTAGAAATGTTTATATAAATATATACACACATACATATATAATATATATATACACTCTGTACAGCCCTTTTAACTTAGCATGTAATAATGGCTGTTGTGTAGCACGCCGAAGAGCGAAGTTTCTTATCACTAGAAAAACCACAACCTTGAAACTATGTCTAGATAATATAGTTTACTATGTTGTCAAACCAGGGTCAGTATGACAGAAAGCAAGTCAGCCTTGTTCTGAAACGACATTGTCACATGTAAATAGCAGCATAGTGTAGGAGGCCAGTTGTTGTCACAAACTGTCACTAGAATATATCTCATTGTTGATATCGACAACATATCTCACCTTGGCTGCGGTGGACGTTGAAGCTCGCCAGGTGAATGACTTCATCATCGCTGCCTCCATCTGCCATTGTGACACTAAACTTTCCTGCAATCTGTCACTGCTCAATCAATACCATCTATACACACACACACACACACACACACACACACACACACACACACACACACACACACACACACACACACACACACACACACACACACACACACACACACACACACACACACACACACAACCACACACACACACACACACACACACACACACACACACACAACACACACACACACACACACACACACACACACACACACACACACACACACACACACACACACACACACACACACACACACACACAACACACACACACACACACACACACACACACACACACACACACACACACACACACACACACACACACACACACACACACACACACACACGACTGTAAGAACAGAAGTGGAAGAAGAACTCGTATATTTTGCTTAAGCCAAAGTAGCAATACTACAGGGTAATATTATGTTACAAGTAAAAGTCCAGAATACAAAATTGTACACAAGTAAAAGTACAAAAGTATTCTTCAAGTACAAAAAGTAAAAGTAATAATTTTCCAGTGGCCCCTATCAGATGTTTATAATACTTATTATTAATGAATTAATATTAATGTTGCACTTGGTGTTTTATATTATTTATTATAAATATATACCTGCAAATTAGCGGGTTACTAAATTGGTCAAATAAATATAGTGAAGTAAAAAGTTAAAAATTGCCTCCAAAATGTAGTAAAATAAAAGTACAAGTAGCATAACGTAAACAAATACTCAAGTGAAGTATCTCAAACTTGTACTCAAAAAGTACAGTCATTGAGTAAATATATATTGTTACTACCCACCACTGTGTAAACACTCACCGGCCACTTTATTAGGTACATCTTGCTAGTACCGGTGTTTGACCCACTTTTATATTCAGAACTGCCTTAATTCTTCGTGGCTTAGACTCAACAAGGAGCTGGAAACATTTCTCAGGGATTTTGGTCCATATTGAGCACCCAAAAGTTCTCTATAGGATTTAGATCAGGTGACTGGTGAGGTCATTTGAGGACAGTGCACTCATTGTCATGTTCAAGAAAGCAGTTTGACACGATTTGAGCTTTGTGACATGTCCTGCTGGAAGTAGCCCTTAAAGATGAGTACACTGTGGGCATAAAAGGAGGGATATGGTCGGCAACAATACTCAGGTAGGCTGAGGCGTTAAGACGATGCTCAATAGGTAACAAAGGGCCTAAAGTATACCAAGAACATATCCCCCACACCTTTAACCACCACCTCCAGCCTGAACTGTTGATCCATACTTTCATGTTGTTTATGCCAACTTCTGACTCTACCGTCTGAACGTCGCAGCCGAAATATAAACTCATCAGACCAGGCAACATTCTTCCAATCTTCTATTGTGCAACTTTGGCGAGCCCGTGCAAATTGTAGTCTCAGTTTCCTGTTCTTAGCTGACAAGGTTCGACATGATGTGGTTCAGATGGTCTTCTGCATACCTTGGTTGTAACGAGTGGTTATTTTAGTTACTGTTGCCTTTCTATCATCTTGAACCAGTCCATTCTCCTCGGACCTCTGGCATCAACAAGGCATTTTGGCGTAGAGAACTGCTTCTCACTGGATATGTTCTCTTTTCCTGACCATTCTCTGTAAACCCTAGAGATGGTTGTGCTTGAAAACCCCAGTAGATGAGCAGTTTCTGAAATACTCATGGCACCAACAACCATGCCACGTTCAAAGTCACTTAAAATAACCTTTCATCCCCATTCGGATGCTCTGTTTGAACTACATGCCTAAATGCATTGAGTTGCTGCCTTATGATTGGCGGATTATATATTTGCTTTAGCGAGCCGTTGCACAGGTGTACCTGATAAAGGGGCCAGTGAGTGTGTAACCTTGCTAAATAAGACTAATAAAGAACTCATATGCCACGCTGCAGTTGGCATGCAATCATAAGAGAACTTAACAAAGAGGTACTTTAAAATAAAACTGAAATCTTAACACAGGGAGCAGGGTTAAGGGATGGGATTAGTCTCTCAATCTAGAATCAACATGAGGTAGCTAACAGAAAGTTGTTTTATTGTGTTTGCTGACCTGATCTTACAAGAAACAGTCACTCCGTCATTGTGTCTCACTAACCCAGCCCTAGTTGTGCTTGATCTGATCAAAGTTGGCATGAAATCAATGCAAATCTTTCATTTTGATAAACTGCAGACGTTGGCAGTGATGCAACACTGCATATATGGACTTGTATTCAGTGTATCAAAGTGACAGTAGTCTTAACACAGTGAGGTTTTCTTAATATTTCAGATCTTGAAGTTAAAAACAAACATGTCAGAACAGAAATCGATCATTTCCGCGCAGAACAAACTGCTTTTAAGCTAAGCTAATGTTAGTTAGCTTGCTAGCTAGCTAGTAGGTTAAGTACTTAGCTCACTAATGTCGGGGTTTCTACGGATTACATTGCTTCAAAACGACAGTTAACAGTTTAATACGTAGGTTTAAACAATACACATCCAGAAATGTACCATACCGCAGCTGGGTGGTGGAGAACCAACACAAAACACCCTCTTGATGGACTGGCTTTCGGTGAATATATCGAAACAAACTGCCAAAACAAGAACAGCACCGACGTCACGCACGGCACCCGTCGCTCGCTACGCACGGCTGTTGAATTCTGGGAAATGTAGTATTTACGTTACTGATGTGGTCACAATGTAACTCAAAACAAAACCAAATAACTTGATAAATTATGATTTTATACATGTGTATTGTGAAGCGGGGTTAACAGAGAATGCACCTTCTTCGCAAACTGAACTCTTTCTCTGTCAGGCCTTTCATTCTTTGTCGTTTTTACCAAGCATTCATTGAGAGCCTTATTTGTTTTTCTTGTATCTGCTGGTTCCATAGCCTCACACTGAAAGACAGGAACAGCCTGAACAGCATTGTTAAAACCTGCTCCAAGATCATCGGCGTGAAACAGAGAGACTTAAATTCCTTCTGTAAGCAACAGATTCTGCGGAAAGCAGAGAGCATTCTGAACTCTCCAGGTTATGTTCTTTCACGTGAATCTCGTCTGTTGCCATCAGGGCGAAGATATGCTCCACCTGCTCAAAGGACTAATCGCTTTTCTAAATCATTCATCCCTTCTGCACTCAAACTTTTAAATTCTTGAAAAGGCTTTTAACTTGATTATTTATTTATTATTGTGATGCTTTGAACTATTTATAGTGTAAATTAGAATGATTCACATCTGTGCTCCCGGGTGTATCTGTGTGTTTTTCTTCTTGTATGTTCCTGCCTGTGTTCATGACATCAACTGCTGCTCATAACCAATTGCCCCTTGCGGGATTAATAAAGTTGTTGATTGATGTATAATATATACAATATAAATAATTATAGAATAGCTTACATTTAAAATAATAAATGTTTATTTGTATATATTGTGTATTCAATAGAAGAGGTGTGCAATAAAAAGATAAAATGAAATACATATTTATATAAACATAAAAAGAAATAAGGTGCAATATAGATGAATCCAAATATATATATATATACAAACATAAGAAGTTAACAAGTTTAAGTATGTGAAATACAAATATAAAACAAGTACTTTTAATTGTCGAATAACCTAAATAAACAGGCATTACCTACATTATATTTCTAATTACAAATACTTAAATGTTTATTGAATACATATGATATATGTTAATTGATATGGATAGTCAAAAAAAATGCACACAAGACAAGGAATTTATTTTCAATTTAATTTCTTTTAATATAATCTTATTTACATTGTATTTTTTCATAAATGTTTAGTACATAGTAAGTTACAATACTCTTGCATCCATTACACAGTGAACTCTAGAAAATGCAGATTGAAATGATACTGCTTAACAGTCTTCAATAATCAATCTACAACAAATCCCAACTGTTTCCACATGTAGGTCTTTTGATTTCATTCACTTTGTTGGAGGACTAATGACTGTAAAGAGGATTTTTTTGTTCATTCATGGTGGTCTTGAGAACGAGGACTACTTTTTTCTAACATCCAGGCAATGGAGACAACATCAGGGCCACAGAGAAAGAAAAACCAAGATGGTGAAATGGATGATGAAACATGTATGAAAGGCTTTTGAGATTTTATTATACACGTCACATACAACCAAAGAGTTCCTGAAGCTGACCCTTTCTTCCTTTCCATCCATCCTCGTGGCTCATTTAGTTAAATATCCAGGTCCCCAGCGTCAGTAGAGTTTTTAAAATCAGGGTAGGGAGGATTGATCCCTTTCAAAATAAATGTAACGTGGTATTTAAAACACCAAAAACACTGTTCATTCATACACTGACAAGAGTATTCCCCCCGCAATTATTTGAATGTTAAAAAAAAAATAAAAACAAGTAACGAAATTCAATAAAACCCACTTTGTGGATTACTTGAATTGTAAGTGAATTGACCCTTCAACTCTGGTAGAGGGGGGGTGATGAAGAGATTAGTGTGGGCTCTGTGTAGAGCATATAGCAGCTTGGTCAGTAATCACTTAGTAATAAATAATAAAAATATCAGAGTGGATCAGAGTGGTCGCAGATACAAACGGAAGGAGACAAAAAGTTAGCAAAAAACAGAGGAGCAGGCTCATTTGATCATTTTTACAGCGGAACAGAGTGCCATGCCTGAAACACACACTCTCTCACACACACACAAATACAGTCTCATTCACACACACATGTACATGCACTCTCTGATACACGACAGTGGTTAAACATAAAGCATGAACACTAGTCAATCAATCGGCTTGTCAGACAGAAAGACAATCAGTCTCCGCTTTGTTCCTCTTCTTCATACGTCTGATTTTCTAAAAGTTCCCAGGCTCGCATGTGATTGGCCGATTCTGTCCGCGGCGGCGGCGGTAGACATTCTGAAGAATGACATCATAGCTTGTTAAAACTGAAGGATAAAAATGCTTCTTCAAAACATTTGAAAAACTTTAAAATACTTTTCTTTTTTTGTCTGTTTTTGTATCTTCTTCCTCTCCCGCTGTGCTTCCTCCTTTAACCCCCCCCCCCCCCCCAACAGTTTGGTTAGGAGGTGGAGAGAGACCCAAAGTCTGTTTCTTGTGATGCTTGGCTGCTCCGTATACTCCGTGTATACTTTGATATTTTGTTGATGTGTGTGTATATGATGTAAAAAGTCAAATAGTTTTGTGTGCAAGTGCAAGCGCAAGTGTGTCTGTGTGTGTCGGGTTGATTTTGGACTCGTCACTCCACAGCGAAGCCGCAGGTCTCCTCCACAGCCGTCAGCAGTTTCTCATAGAGCTTCTCGTAGGACTCGTAGGGAGGGACGTCTATCCGGTTAAAACTGGAGACAGGAAAGAACAATTAGTGACTCTTCGGCACATACATAGTCATTGAAGTCGTATTTTCATTTAAAAAACTCTGCTATATCATAGTCATATTTGTTTATATTATTCTGGTCTATAGAGTGTTGCAGGGTGAGTACTAAAACCAGAAATGAGTTAGCATTTTAGAAAGTTAGCTTCCCTTGTTTAGAAGTCAATGGTTTTTTGAACGTGTTTTTGCTTAGAGGCGTGAAATAAGATCTGTTGTTAACACAAACTTAATGGATTGTTCTACGATGTAAAATATGTCAGTAAATATTCCACTGGCCAATTAAAACAGTTGTTATGTTTAATTTAAACAGCGGTTGCTAACTGGTGACTAAAAGAGACTCCTAAAAAGGTCATCATGCTGAACATTAGCCACCTTGTTGGTGACGTGAAGTCATGTGACCGTGATGTAGTTCCTTTAGAGACTAACGTTAGCTTTTTACACTGGAGATTGCATTTTTTTTAAATCATAGCGCAAGTGGTGATAATATGTGGAGATGATCCTGCTGAAGGAAACGTGTGAGCATCATAAATGTTGAAATATTCCAGAATCCAATGGAAAATCTTTTTGTTTCATGGTCCTTACCAGGTGTGAGCCTTGGGCAAGTTGTCTGTGTTGGCGTCTATCAAGTGGATGGTGAAGAGCCTTGGTCCTGCAGAACCTGTAGAACCTTACACATATACATTCTAGTTATCACTGCTCTACTCCGAGGCACTGACCACTCAACAATCTTTACACAGGATCCCATCAAATCACAAAGATATAATCAATTCATTAGTTGTTAGATTTATTGTTGGCTGGAAATGAATCTGGATTAGTTTGAATTGAATCTACAGCTTAGTCGATCAAATCACGAGTGTCTAAACATGTGAATTAATTGGCTACTATTTGAATAATGCTTTAGTGAGTGTTTTTATACGAAAAGTAATCTGAAACATGATTTTCTATGTCTGCATGCTAGTAAACCAAATATATTTTAGTTATACATGATGCAGTTAACTCAAAAACAAAATAAAATGTATATAAAACTAACCTCACTTGCCTCTTTATAGTTTTCTATCTAATGGCTTTAAAGAGAGCAGAGCATAAGAAAAAGGAAAGTTCTAACAGACCAAATGAAAGTCAGCAATAAAGTTATAAAATGTCCAAAAACTGTTTTATATGCTTTCATTTACAAGACGCACCGCTCTCCTTAACGCCACCCGATAGAAAACATTTTCCAGGACCATAGACAGCCTTGGGAGGGGAGTGACGTATACAATTTGTTTAGTTTTTTGAACTGGTTTATCTAGAAAATAATTGTCAAATGAATTGACTTTAAGTACTCAAGAAGTCTGTTATGGCGCATTTCCACTGCAGGGCCTCGCACGGCTTAGTACGGTAGTTAGGCCTTGGTAGGCCAGGCTCACTTTCAGCTGCGTTTCCATTACAGTTTAGGAGCTGGGGCAGTAACTATAGTAACCGGCATCATGTTGAAACGTGTATTACAATTAAATCACGGTCAAATATGTTCATTTTGTTGTAGTTGCCAGCGATTCTCTCTCTAGTTTAGCATACTCAGCCCGGTTGTTGGCCCGGAAAGAACCTGGATTTTGGAGAGCCAGAAAAACGGTGAAAAAGTACCTGCTAGCCGGAACTACGCCTAGTGGAAACGCAACCAAAAACGGGCCGGGCACGGCACGCTTAAACCGCGCTGTAGTGGAAATGCGCCATAAGCATGTGTGCACATCTCTACGTACTATATGTTATTGTTAAGATGTGTTTAGTGGAGTCAAATATCCTTAAAGCAGTGGCGAGCCGTCAGGGCCCTCTAGGCCCTCTGTGAGGGCCTAAGATATTCTAAAAAATAATATTTAAAAACATTTTTAAAAAATATTATTTTTTTTAAATATATATTTTTTAAATATTATTTGTGTTATATTTTTACCGAAAAAACTTGATTTAATTGTATTTAAAATAAAATTTCCAAAGAAATAAATCCTTCGAATCTTCCTGTTCAGTTTCTGTTTGAATGTGAAGGGTTACATGAAAAAAGCTCGTCTGGCCCTCTATGCGATTCACAGAGGGCCCGCTATAGTAAAACAACGAGAGAGTAATGTCAAGTGACAGTACAATTGACCAATCATATCTTCCCTCTAAATGGGAGGGCTTTATTATCGCGGACTTTATGACAAGTTCCGCCCGCTGCGCTGCCAAGTTTATGCATGTGATATATCAACGGGTCAAGCTAGGCGGAATTAGCATACGTTCATTCACGATGGCTCACGTTAGTGATAGTGATGACATCGTTGCGAAACTACTAACCGAGTCTTTTTCAAGAATGAGTTACACGGATAAATTGGAGTTAATTACCACAGGGCGACCAACACCACAACTTAATTTGGTTCAAAAAACCAAACGGTTCGAGAGGCATTTTAATATCGGCAATTACGCCAGATACAACTGGATGACCGGATCAACCAGGGAACAAAAGCTGTACTGCTGGGATTGCTTGCTTTTTGGTGCGGACAGTGGGTCATGGGCCAGAGATGGATATTCTGATTTAGGAAGTTTATCCAAATCAGCACATCGCCATCAGAATGCTTCAGGTCACCTCAGAGCTACTATTCGGCTTAAAACATTTGGGGACACCAGGATAGAGCTCCAGCTGGATGAGCAACAACGCCGGGGTGTCATCCTTCATAATGAAAAGGTGAAGAGGAACCGAGGAATTTTGAAACGCCTGATAAATTGTGTGGTGTACTTGGGCAAGCAGGAGTTGCCGTTCCGAGGTCACGATGAGAGTGTAACTTCATCAAACAAGGGGAATTACATAGAGTTGCTGGATTTAGTGGCAGAATATGACAGCGACCTGCACACACACCTCGCCACATCAACAGTATTTACCGGCACATCTTCAAGGATTCAGAATGACCTGATCAGCGCTGTCGCTAGTGTAATGACGGATAGCATGAAAGAGGAGCTGAGGAAGGCACCTTTTGTTGCGGTCATGTTGGATGAAACGACAGACATTAGCAACGTGGCGCAGATGTCATATGTGCTTCGATATGTCACTGACGATGGGATAAAAGAGCGTTTCTTCAAGTACGAAGATGTGACAGAGGACAAACGAGCAGAGGCCATAGCTACACGGCTGCTGGAGTTCCTGAGGGAGAGTGGCTGTATTGACAAAGTGGTCGCGCAGTGCTACGATGGAGCAGCTGTTATGGCCTCTGGATTGAATGGGGTGCAAGCGAAAGTTAAGGAAACAATTCCACAGGCCCTTTTCATTCACTGCTATGCTCACATCTTAAATCTCGTCTTGTCAAAGGGAGCTTCCAAGATAAGAGAGTGTAAGGTCTTCTTCTCCCACCTCTCTGGCTTGGCCACCTTTTTCAGCCGCTCAGCAAAGCGCACCAAGCTACTGGATGATATTTGCCAGCATAGGCTTCCACGGGCAGCTCCTACTCGCTGGTGCTTTCATTCTCGCTTGGTGTGCACAGTGGCAGAGAAGACCAGGGAATTGAGAGAGGTAAGATAATAATAACAATGAACGTAATGGAAATATTAACAATAATAAAGAAATGATTTAGTGTTGGAAACTACCCACTCATAAAAACATGAAGGTAAAGAACTATGCTAGTATTACATTAAATGGAAAGCTAATCTTAGTGTTTACTGGAGGTCTATAAGTTGTTTTTTCTAAACTAAGCATTACTCTCGTAGGTGTTCGAGCACATCGTAGACCATCACACAGAGTTTGATGACGAAACTGTTCATTGCTCTGATGGATACATCACCCTCCTTACCAGCTTCGATTTCAGCTTTTGGTTGAAAACCTTCCACGCTATCTTCTCCTACTCGGATGTTGTTTTTGAAATACTTCAGAACAAAGGTTTTGATATGCAGTTCTGCCTGGCCAGAGTGGATCAGCTACAGCGACAAATTGAACAGGAGAAGGGGAACTTTGACAGCGTCTACGATGAAACCCAGGCTTTGGTTGGTCCTCCGCGCGGCCGTGGAGCTCAAGGAGACGTTCGTGCACGGTACAGGGAGCTCCACTGCAGCGTAATTGACAGCCTGCTAACCCAGATTTCCAACCGCTTCAGTGACCACAAAAAGCTGGAATTCCTGGCCCTTCTGGACCCGCAACAGTTCGGGCATTACTGTAACTATTTCCCAACTGCTGCCTTGAACAGTTTGATGGAGAGCTATGGCGGATATTTCGACCAGCCTCGACTGCACACGGAACTCGCCGTGATGTACGGCATGTCTGACATTTTGGGGAAAAGCCCAGCCGACATTCATCAGTTTCTCCTCAAAAAAGGACTGAGTGAAAGCATGAAACAGGTGTACACCCTCTCATGCATCATCCTGACAATACCTGTGTCCACTGCCTCTGTGGAGAGGTCCTTCTCTGCGCTGAAGCGCATAAAAAGCTACTCGAGGTCCACGACTGGGCAAGTCCGACTGTCAGACTTGGCCTTAATTTCGATCGAGAAGGAATTGCTGATTGCTTTAAAAGCAAAGGATCAGCTGCATGACGACGCCATCAAGTTCTTCATCCAAAAAGACAGGAGGATGGACTTTGTGTTTAGGTGATTTGATCATCAAAGGTAAGTCAAAGTGATTTTCAATGTGGGCCGCCGTGCCGACTTAATTCATTTGTAATTGTTACTTGGCTGTGGGTGTCCTGTCATGATAGGTGTTTATATAAATGGTGTTGTTTTGTGTGGTAGAGGGTCGCTGTCATTGATGCGTTTTGCACCCCGGGCCGCTGTTTTGATATTCCGCTGAAGTATACTATAGGCTGTGACGTAAAAACGTTTTCTTTTCTTTTTTTCGAGGGAAGAGGAGGGTGGGGTCAGAGGGCCTAGGTAGAAAAGTCACGGCTCGCCACTGCCTTAAAGTGTACCATAATAAGTCTCAAACATAGTAAAAAGAGATTTCCTTTGATCAAGAACTCTATTTGAATCAGTTATCGTACTGATAGTAAATGTTGGTTGTTTAATCGTTCATTAGGAGAACAGATACATTGAATTAGCAGACTAAATGTTAGCATCAAGTGAACATAATATATGATGTGGGTAAAATATGAATGTGTGTTGTGTGATCCAGTGAGTGACCCACCCTGCAACGCTTTGAACCCCTGTAACGGGACTCGGGTGGATCCTGTGACGAACTGCAGGAGGCGTCCTCTCCTCTCCTCGCTGAAGGCCTCCACCGCCTCCCAGAACCACCGCACCACGTTGCTCTCACAGGTGCAGTGCTTCAGACGCGTGTTGGTCTTCCAGTCCGCCAGGTCGATCTTCCCCAGCCCACCGATGATCAACTGGAGAGGAGGGGGAGGTTTAAGTTAATAAGGAGGATAGCAGGGTATCTGCAGGAATCCTGAAGTCAAATGTAAGACCTTTTTGAAGACCTTTTTTAAGACCCTTTCCGTACATTTTAAGACCTCATCGCCACTTTGAGTTTTAACCGGTTACCTTGGCGACACACTTTACCTCACATTGACTATATACAGTATTGATTGTCCTTCCTCCGTATCTTCCAACCATTTGGACGCAGACTTGCATTTCCCCATAACGATGTTGTTTAGCAACCGGCGTAAACGGACCTACGCACGCTATCAAGCAGTGAGCGTGCGACGTCCTGTTCAGATGACGTCAAACCCAACGGGATGCCATCAATAAACTACACAGAATCACACTACACACCTACGCCATGATTACATTCAGGCACACTGTAGAATACAACCTCTTTGGACCATTTATAGACTTATTGAAAACAAGCTACAAAATGTAATACCTTGGAAAATGCCGTTTCATAGCCTTAATTTTCACTAATTTGATTGATCAACTTTTAATACTTTTTAAGACCCCGCGGACCCCCTGGACGGATTAAGAGTTTACAAAAAACACGTAAGATGAGCTGGATTGCAGATGTACCTCGAGTTCTTTGTGGTCGAAAGGTTTGAGGAGGTGCTGGGGGATGAGCTCACTGAATCCCTTCTGTAGAGCCAGAAACTGGGCTTCGATTCCTCGCATAAACCGCCAGTTCACATAAAGTCTGAAATACAAACACAACATGGTTCAGGACAAATAAGAAAACTGTAGTAAACTGAAATCAACAGCTCTTCCTGACTACGAAACAGTATATTTTCTGTATCAACGGCAATCAGAATGATGATTTAAATGATGAATACAAATATGTATTAAACCTGCACACCCTACGACGATATACAACATGAATAACACAATAAAAACAGTGGTGTATTAGGTTTAATAAGATATTAATACTGAATCGCCCAGGACGTTTGAGTATAAGACAGTGTCTATTCTCACCTGACGTATTCCTTTTTGTTGTCCTCGGTGACGGGGATATTGCGGCCGTTGGGTTTGAGTTCGTGTTGTGAGAACTTCCCGAAGGCGTTGTGCTCCACGCAGAAGGTGTGGTCGAGGACCGTAGTGATGTCGTTCTCTCTGCACAAAGAGAATTACAAGTTAACAATCTATTTATATCCAAAAGGGGACAGTGCAGGCCATGTGATAAATCTCTCTCTGCGGTCAGAGGCGTTTGCTCACAGTATCCAGACGAGACTCTTGTGCAGCTCGGGGTCGGTGGTCTCCAGGTCGATGAGCGTGATGGGTTTTCCTAGCAGCTGTTTGTAGAAGGGCAGCGTGAAGCTCCCGTTGATGTAGTGACCGTGAAAAACTGCCAGGCCCATCACCCGGCCAACAAAGTGGAAGTAAGACAGGTGGTCCTGAAAGAAAAGCAAGAAAGACAGAGACACCGACGGAGACATACGGGTCAGAGAGGGTCTTCCTATTCAGCTCGACTGTGTGTGTGTGTGTGTGTGTGTGTGTGTGTGTGTGTGTGTGTGTGTGTGTGTGTGTGTGTGTGTGTACTCACAGGGTTGATGGAGGAGTCGGGGTTGATCTGTAGTGTGTAGATATTGTCTGTGGAGTACTGGAACAGGCCGTAATAGGGGTTCAACATTTCATGACACAGCAGGTACAGCCACTCCCTACAGACAACCAGCACATTGTTAACCATTGTTCAAAGCGCAGTCATTAATCATAAAACAATGAGAAGACTGAAGGAAAAAAAAAATGTATATGACGTAGTCCTTGAGTCCAGTGAAGTGTCTTTTCTTAGACTAGCAGCTTTACTGAATAGATGTAGACGTATTAAAGGCGTAGCTCTTATTTTTAAGGTGGGGTTGTATGAGGTATTTTTTGGCACAGAAGCAAAGCAACATAATAGCCACCGCAAAAAGTTACTTTCAGTTGAAATGTATCCTATATTAAGAATATTTATAATATGAATCTTGCCATCAGACAGCCCTTGCTTTGGGAACTGAAGCCTCAAGATGCCTTAAAACATTTGATTGAGTTTAAATGAACACTGTTTAAAATATCTTTAGGGCTTTATCCTGCCCTCAGACTGCCCTTTAAAAGCACCAAAGTCCATTCATAAAAACAGTCATTTAGGTTTAGAGTTATTGGTATACTGCTGCCTCCATAGGTCACTTTGTTTGTGTTATTGTGGGACATTGGTGTTTTGTTCGGATTGACCAAAGTCCCACAATAACACAAACAAACCGACCGATTGAGGCGTCGGCACACCAACATCTCCGTTCTGCAAGCGTAAATGACTGTTTTTGTGGATGGACTTTGGTGCTTTTGAAGGGAGCATAGAAAGGGCAGTCTGAGGACAGGATAAAGAGCTACAAATGTTTTAAATACAGTGTTTATTTAAACTGATATTGATTTTTTAAAGACGTCTCCAGATATGTTTGGATGCTGACCCAATCCACAGCAGTTTATTGATTAGCTTCTGTGCCGGTACTCTGTGTGGCTGACCATCGTCTGCTGTAGGACGTAATGCATTGACTTTAAACAAATAACTCATAGGACCCCACATTGGAAGAATACAAACTATGCCTTCCACTCAGAGTGACCATGAACTAACCACAGCTGCTTTAGGTTGAGTTTACTAACTGGATGTTAAGGAAATAAAAGAATCAAAAAGAAACGGCAGGCATGGCATAGTGGTAAGAATAGGCTGTAAAAATGTGTCTAAAACACTCTCCAAATAAGCAATAGAGAACCTTAGTGACGCATCCTATAACCCGGAAGTAAACTCCTTCCGGTTCGTCAAAAACCAATGCAATCTCTCCATAGGGTTTTGGAAAATAGCTGGAAATAAGGTCTGTGGTTGAAACACATTTAAGAGACGGATCACGTTTTGTTCAGCCGGATAATCTCCACATGTCTATCCTACTTTTATCATTTTCTAATCGTAAATCTAGTCGCCAGAAGCAAAATGCTAACGTTATGCTATAAATGAACTACAGCAGGGTCGCTGCTTCAACGTCACGCCGACTTCAGATCCATATTCAAAACTACAGATTCAAAATGGTACAAGTTGAAGCGTTTGTTTTAACAGTTTGCAGGAGGCAGGCACTTGCTTTCAAGTACCTGTGTACCTGTACTTGTGTTCGGGCGGCAGACACCCTATCCGTTTTTAAGAGTGCGCTTAAGACCTTCCTTTTTGATAAAGCTTATAGTTAGGGCTGATTAGATTCAGCCCCTAGTTTTGCTAATATAGGCTTAGTTTGTCGGGGGACATCTTACTTCTTCCTTCTCTCTGTCTATACCTGTGTACTCTCATGTTCCGATTAACCCAGCTTCCCCAAATGTCTTTCTTTTTGGTGTCTGTATACGCCGGGATCCGGAGTCATGGATGATCCTGCGCTCCTCTGTCCTGCATCACGAGCCCTGGATCTTGAGTCGTGGCTGTGGTCCTGGATCATAGGTCCTGGATGGATATCCTCGTGGATTCATCTTCCTATTATACACACATGCATTTCCAAACATTTGGACTACCTATGTTGCAAATGTATTATCTTTTCAATTTACACACGGCATCTATTGCACGTCTGTCCGTCCTGGGAGAGGGATCCCTCCTCTGTTGCTCTCCCTGAGGTTTCTCCCATTTTTCCCTTTAAACTGTGGGTTTTCTCCGGAAGTCTTTCCTTGTACGATGTGAGGGTCTAAGGACAGAGGGTCTAAGGACAGAGGGTGTCGTATTGTCATACTGATATTCTGTACACACTGTGAAGACCACTGAGACAAATGTAACATTTGTGATATTGGGCTATATAAATAAACATTGAGTGTTTACGTGTTCGGTGTAATGATGTAAAACGGCCTCCACAACTTCTGTAGTCCTATTCAGCCACTTGGTAACAACCATCGTTTTTCAGACACGTAAACTCTTCAGAAATCACCAGCGGGGTCACTGCTGATGTGTTTAATGTCGTTGAACAAAACGTGATCCGTCTCTTCAATGTGTTTCAAACACAGACCTTATTTCCAGCTATTTTCCTAAACTATGGAGAAATTGCATCGCTTTTTGTCGAAGGAACCGGAAGTGGTAACATGCCAACTTACTTCCGGGTTTTAGGACGCGTCACTGCGGCACTCCTTGTACAGCTTCTTAAATAATGTGCCCAATGAAGTGGGAAATACACATATAGGGAAATGTATTTAGATGCTGACAGCACGGAGGTGATGTGAGGAGCTATAAAAACAAAGGGCTGTGAACGTGTAACACTTGATCTTAAGTCAGCAGGGAGATTACAAATGGAATGTGACTGAGGAAAGCAAATTAAAAGGCTTGATGACAGAAATAGAAATCCTACATCAAACACAAAAGTGATCATAGATGTGAACAGCGAGCTACCTGGCCACTCCACCGTAGTCCAGCCCCTCCTCTCCTCTGAACTTCACCATCAGACGCTTCTTCAGGTCTTTGGGCCTCATCTTCATTATTTGCCGATATGACTCCTAAACACAGACGCACGACATTAATACATCATCGCAGAGAAAAGAAAACAAATAGTGACCCACAACACGTGCATTTAGATCAGTGATGTTCTGTTAAACTGTTTATCAGTATCAAAATCTGTCACATTGACCCTAACACACATTTTGAGTTTTATACACTGTTGGAAAGAGATGATTATTCGCTTTTTCATTATATCCTTATTGGTTTTGCTCTCGAAATATAAAAGGGACTATATGTCACATAATACAATGTCTGTGACAGAGCCACACATATGAGGAAAAGGACTTCAAATTATTATGTGGGCACGGCGTGCATCAGGGTTCATACACTTTTTCATCAATGACATCTCCATGACCTTTACCTCATTTTCCATGACCAAAAAAATAACTCCTTCTCAGCGGTGCCACTGAAAATGGTTTATTTTAACATGGAACAGGAAAATAAGGTCTGCATCTGAAACATGTCGTGCCTCTCTAAAACAAATCAAATAGGCTTACTAGCTTCTACAGGCAACTAAAATCTCTCACCAGCAAAATACCTCGTCAGTTAAATGCCATTTTACCTTTCATTACTATACGATATTTATTATCATTATAGTATTTTGGCGATTAGCTAAAATATAAATTATATTTGATGCAACTTTAGTTACATTTCCATGACTTTCCCAGGGCCTGGAATTAGCTTTTTGAATTTCCATGACTTTCCCAGGGCCTGGAATTAGCTTTTTGAATTTCCATGACTTTCCCAGGGCCTGGAATTAGCTTTTTGAATTTCCATGACTTTCCCAGGGCCTGGAATTAGCTTTTTGAATTTCCATGACTTTCCCAGGTTTGTAATGACCGTAAGAACCCTGTGTACTGTACAATGTATTTATCTTCCGAAAATAGGAATAAGAGTTTCATATCCTGAAATACTTTGTTTGTTTAGAATCAACCAAAACACCAAAGTGACCATAACATGAGTTTATAACATGAATCCTTGTTTCTCTCAAAATAGCCGTTTCTACAGCAGAGTGATTTTGATGGAGCGAGTCACATGTGCACAATCGGAGCAGCTTTTGTGTTCTTATACAGTTGAATAAATAGCAAATATGGTTGTTGTGACAGCTGTGTATGAATTCCACAGGAGCCCCCCGTCCCCCGTGTCTCCACACCCACCTCAAAGATCTCCTCTCTGGACACCTCGATGCGACAGTGTCCGGCCTGAGGCTGCTGTAAGGACAGCTCGTGTCGGAGCAGCTTTAATTTATGCACCAGGTCTCTCTCGTATCGCGCCGCCACGTCTCCATCTCCGCCTCCAACTCCCCCGACCACTCCGACGACTCCCCCCTCCTCACCCCCCACCTCCATCTGGGGGGCTTGCGAGGATTCCTTCGCTTGGCTTTGCTGGCTGGAGGTGGGAAGAAGGACATGGGAAAAGTGTAAACATGTCAGAAAGTCAGATTTGAAGGAACTGGACTACACACAGTGCATGCAGCCGGAGCGGCTAAATCTATAAGCCTGCATTTCTGTTTACACACGATTATTAACAGGTCGTGTTCAGAACCAGTCTGAGTCCAGCCTAACAGCTTAACCACAGATTAGTCTTATTTGGTCCGTGTTATGAATGTCTGCCACCAAGGTGTACATTGATGGTGCCATGAGGGATCCAAGAGAGCATAGAGTGGTGCAGGAATGAGTCCTTAACCCGGAAATTAGTTAGCATTTTAGCACTTCTGGTTAGCTCATCTTTAAGTCATTGTTTTTTTATTGTGTCGTTATTTAGATGCTGAAATAAGGTTTGTTGGTAACACAAATTTATAGGATTTTCGAGTTTTGTTCTACGACTTAAAACACGTCAGTTAAAATCCCACTGGTGGATGTCTGAAGAGTCATCACGTCTATCATTAGCCACATTTAGCTTAGCGGTGATGATATGAAGTCATGTGACCGCGCTGTAGTTCCTTAGTAGCCTTAGTATGCTTGAACTATTATTAAAGTGGTGTTAATATGTGGAGATTATCCTGCTGAGAAAATGTGTAAATATCATAAACGTGTGTTTGCAAAGGATCTTATTTTCTGCAATATTCAAAAATCACATGGAGAAATCTAATACTTTTTTAGTCAACGGAGCCTTCGCCATGCTAACTTCCGGGATGGCCTACAAAAACACGCCATCCCTGCACCACTCTGTTTCCGATGTGTATACCTGATAATGGTGTGTAGGCGCGGGTCTGTGAACTGTGTGGTTCGGTTGTTGTGGTCCACAAAGTAGATCCGCCCCGACACGGTGCTGCGGACCTCCCAGCCCACCGGCAGCGGGCCCAGCTCCTCACAGCTCACACTGGCCAGATCCCTGCAGCAGGAAGCAAGCAGCCGAAATCCTCAGCAGCAGCCAGCCAGCCCTCTTTAACTTTTCTGACCCTGCATACTGCTCTTAACCCCCAACGAAACCCCAGCGCTTAAGAAAAACAACCTGGTGATTTTCCCTTAATCTGTTGGTGTTATTACTGCAGAGCAAGGTTGCTGCACACTTTTTGAAATACAATGTAATGATTTTTATTTCTATTAAATCCTTCTCTATGTCCTCCTCCTCTGCTAGTTAGTTAGATAGTCAGCGGGGTTTATTGAAGCCTCGCCTCCTTTCAGGTTTAGCTTGGACTCGAGTGAAGTGATTTGTAAACGTACCGCGGTATTCGAGGGTCGTGCCAGGTGCTGACGCCCGTCTGTGTGTGAAGGAAGTAGACCTGGCCCTGCACCGTCGTTCTTTGTTCTGTTTGAAAAAGAAGAAGAAAAAGGTGTTAAATGACTTAATATGAATAAAAATACAACATGAGATGTTTTAAATATAAAGAGAAATACACATTCAAACATATTTATTTTACTTAAACCGATATATTCCTGCACTTTAACTTTATCTGCATATTGAAGTATGAATGCTTGTCGTTTGTATGTTGTCTTCTCCTGAATGTTGTACGTCTCGTTGTTTTTTGATGGCAAAAAGGAGTAGCTCTACTCATCTCACCTGTATAATGACAATAAAGGATTATTTTCTATTCTATTCTAAATGTTTGACTGACCGTATCCCTCCGGCAGGTCGGGCGGCTGGTGTCCGTGCGGTCTGTTTTGGGGTGTGTGTCCGTGGCCTCTCGAGTCCTGCCCTCTGATTCGCTGCGTCTGAAGACGACCCTCCTGACCGGGCGAGTCGAGCCGACAGTTCCCGCCTCCCGCTGCCCCGGTGGGGTCCGAGTAGGGCAGCGGCTCTTCACTGAAGCATCCCTCAAACACAGGCCTGAAGCACATGATAAGTCAACTGCTTTTGTTTTGATCTTTGGAAGAGGATCAAACAAATCATAACTTAAGTGATGCTGCACAACAACAAGCTCCCAAATAAGTCTCAGTTTAACTTCTCAAGAGATGCCAACATGACGAAGGACACTCAAGTTATTAGCATACGAGTGTTTTTATGAGCATGAGAATTACCTTAGTTGTATGTAAGCAGTCATAAACTCTCAACCCAGAACATCGTTTAACCCTTCACGAAAAAGGTATTTAATATGTTTCTATACTTTAAGATTAACATACGACACGGTTTCCTTTTTCATTGATTGAAAAGTAAATATCACTGTTGTTTCATGAAGGATGAATGTAGACCTAGCTGGTTTGGACGAGGTGTTTTGTAACCTGAAGAATTTCAACACCAGGTTAAGCTTGATTGAGCATGTGTGAAAGCAGCAATCCAATCAGAAGTGGGGCGAAACAAACAGGGCAAGACCCCCGGTGGTGACGTTCGGCTTCCACTCTAATCACATTTACCTGATGCACCATCTGAAGAGCAACTGTCTTGTGAGTGTGTGGTGGTACGCATCCATAGCTCTGCTTCTAAGGCAAACGTATGTCTCCTAATAAGATTCATCAGTAGATCGCAGTAGAGATGCTAGCTGTAGCTCGTGCTCTGCGAGGAAACATGACTAAAAGAGAGGAAGGGATGAATTTGTTTACAGCTTCTGGACCGCTCGTGGAGGTTTCTGTGTACACACAATGACCAAAGAGGCAAACGCAATAACTGTATCCAACAGTCCCTGACAAGGCAAACAAACTGCAGATCTGTAAACACCCTACAAACAAAGGCTCTCTATCACTTCCAATATAGCTGAGAAAGCGTAACAGAAAAGCCCATCAAACATATGTAAGCATTCAACAGTGTCACAACAAGATTTTATTTTTCCGTGAGGTTGTTGTATTGTGTCTCTGAGGTCTGGCAGCGCACTCACCTCACATTTACAGAAATGACAAATAGCTTAAAACAAGGCTGCCAGACTAGCTCTCCACTGTTCGAAGCACCCTCATATTGGAGTTATGCATAGAAGCCTATCATGGCTTCCAGTTGAGAAACGTCTGCAATCTCGTGTTATCACTTTTCTAAAATGTTTCCAATTTAGCAAAAGACCACTGTATTTTTATGATCAAATAGTTTACACAAGAGACGAGCATGACCATAAAACTAGACAAGCTACATCAGGCCATCTACTGGCACCTAAACCCAGGACACATCTTCTGTGTCTTATAGAGCTATAAAGGAATGGAACTCATTGCCAAACTACCTTACTGAAATAGAGCCCAGAGCCTCTTTCAAGAAGAGATTGAAGGGCCATCGACTAATGACCATGTACCCTTGTGAGCTGTGAACCCTAATTTAAATTTGATCGCATGTTGTTGATGATATTGGTGATGTTTTTAATGTTGTTAATGATGTCAGGACTTATGTCCTAAATGTTTCTGTATTATTGTTGTATTGTTTTAAGTGTCGGACCCCAGGAAGAGTAGCTTTTGTCGAGAGCAAAAGCTAATGGGGATCCTTAATAAACATAAACTCACCCGTCATTTTCCAGCAGTCCCCTGCAGTCCACCACAGGGCCACCGCTGCCGATGCGATCTCGCGTCTGTAAGCTCACTGAACACAAGCAGGAGGTCAAAAGGTCAGAGGAGCGACAGAGGGCAGAATATTCACGCGGTCAAACAGACGTTACTCTGGGGGCGAGGTGATGCAGGTCATTTGTAGATGATGTGTCTGTGTGTCCAACCCTTACCTACGATCTGCCCCCGCACTGCGTCACTGTCCGAGGGGTTCAGCTTACAGAGGTCTAGTCGCTGGTCTGGAAAGGAAGGAAAGGAAATGTAAACCAGAGGATTTTTGCATTAGCCTGTTGAGCCCCGAGTCTGTTTTTCAGGTTTCAGGCTCGAAAATGACATTCCCAGAACAAATGACTATTATCTTCACTTCTAAAAAGGGTAAATTAATCATCTTTTTTCTCAAAGCAATGATAAACCTGTGAGTTGGATGTAGAAAAGTGAGAATCAATATACATTTTTTTATAAATTCAGATTGAACATAGTAAAAAAATGTAAATTATAGTGTCCGTCCAAAAAAAGACCATTACTTATAGTGAAAACTACCCTTGAATGATGGGATAGTAGACTAAAAGCTTTAAGAATCCACACTATAACATATAATAAGTACCCTGTATCAAGATTGATGCAAAACAAGTGACATTTAACTTTTTTAAGAGAGATTTAGAAGAAAAAACCCCACTTCTGGGGTCATTTGGGGGGATGTGGGTGTATTTGCCGTTTCTCTGGAACCCATTGGTCGATTTTGATGATTGACATCTCTTTTGAACCGTTAGAGCCAATAGAATCGAAGGGGAAGTTCCACATACACACACACTACCATTGAGAAGTGAAAGCTATGCGCGTGCAGTCGAAAGCAATGTTATGCTCTGAAAACTGAAAGCTAGGTTTATTGCTGATGGATTATCAGAAATCATTTCAAAGTGACACAGACACATTGGATTAACCTTCAGCAGCGTTTTATCGTTTTAATGCCATTGAACACGACTTTTGATCAGAACAACAACAACATATTGCCGTTTTTCCTTCGTAATGCTACGTGTTGTGAAGTCTGGTTTTGTTTCCCATGTCGCGAGTTCTGATCGCTCAGTGATGACACTAATACCTGTAGAATCTGTGGAGTCTCAGTTTGCTAATCGATATCTTGTTTGTGCAGATACGATAAGTAATAAGGGTATTTTAACGTGAGTTCTGTGCTAAGTATGTTAGCATTTTTTCGCTCAGGGCTCATTTAGACGCTTCTTGTGAGACTTGTGTTTTGTTTCGGTAAAAATGGTTCGTATCGTCAGTTAGCTGAGTTTCTTCCCGTTAAGCGGCTATGACACATTCATAGGTTTTTAAAATGTTAAGAAGCACTGAGACACAGTTTCGTGAAAAAAAACCCCGCAGCCCCCTGTACCGGGGGCTCTCGGGCTTAACAGGTTAATGTGTACTTAAAAATCACACAGAAAAGAGGGACTTACATCCTGTGTCTTTTAGCCTGCTGATGGCGTTAGAAAGCAGTCGTATGCAGCCCAGGAAGCCCGCCCCCTGTCGTTTATGGATCTTTTTGTGGTTCCATATGCTGATCGTGATGGAGTCTGTCTTTCCAATGTAGCTGAAAAACAGGTGTTAGATTCAGAAATTACTTCATGTTTACTACAACACAGTCTGGTGTCAAGAATATAAGGTTTTGTGTCTTGACCTTTACATAAATATAAACAAAGAAGTTGAAAATAACTGTGGAGTTGCAGCCCTGAATATAAAGTCTCCCTTTTTGTGAGACATAATGTGCCCGTGTGATTGTTTGAGAATAATGGACCAAATGTAATTGATAAAAGAAGACCTCTTTGAAGTATATTGTTCAATTTCAAGATAAAACCAGTAAGGAAACATGTATTTAAGTGCATAGTAGCTGTGGTTGTGTGGCGGTAGACTCACAGGTCGTAGTGCTGATTCCATTTGGGGTCCAGTGTGCTCTTGACTGTGTCTGTAGAGTGGCATTGACCCGATCCATCCACCACAACCTTGGCGAAGGGATCCGGTAGTCCTACACACACAGCTCAGATTAATAGCTTGTATCCCCCACGGTGAAACCCAATGAGATAGCATCTAGTTATTAGCAATATCTCAAATGGCTTAAGTGATGCAGATAACATTTCTCTACAACAAAGCAGAGCTGCAGACATTCAGCAGATTACTCTTATTATCTCTACTTTGACTAAAACCAGCCTCCAGTTAAAAAGCTCTAAACCAATAACAGCATATTTTATCTGCTTTTTGGGCAGCGCATGATTTAATAAAAGTGGATGAAATTAAAGCAAAGATATGGTCATGACAAACAGCAACTGAGGGACATCAATGGCAATAGAGTGGCGTCTGAATGAGTCGTTAAACTGGGAAATGAGTTAGCATTTTAGCAGTCCCTCGTCACCATTTCTTAAATGCGTTTTGGTTTGAGGGTCAACGTTAGAGTTCTGTGGTTAACACAAGGGTGAAATATCTTTCTATTTTGTTCTAGAACGTAAAACACGTCAGTAGATACCCCACAGGTGAACCCTAATCCTAACCCAAGTTGCTAAAGACTTCTAAACGTCATCAAGCCGAATGTTAGCCGCCTTTAGCATGTGCTTTGTGGAGATCATCCTGATGAACAGAACGTGTAAGTACCAGAAACTCCTGTTTGCTAGAAGTCTTAATTTCTGCAATATTCCAAAATCAGATTGACTTTTTGTCAACGAACCATTGAGATGCCAACTTCCCGTTCCACCTACACAAATAATGTCATCAGTGCACCGCTACATGTGTTTACAGAGTTGCTTTTGATGTCACACACAGACCCTCGTTGAAACACATCTCATCACGTAAACCAACCGTCATCACGGTGAAATCATGCACATGTAAATGAGCACATCTTAATACTTACGAAAGAAGTCTTTCTTTGCGAGGTTCTTGGCACATAATACTGCAAAAGAATAGAAAATCATTATGAACAAAATGCCGCACACACAAATATGTAAATGATCTCAGGGTGTGTGGAGGCTGGCGTAAATCTACACTGGAGCGCAGTGTGGAGGAAGAACGCTGCTCAGGGTAATATATGAATGCCAGAAGATGGTAATGAGCAGGAGAACTTATGTGACTTGCAGGAGGAGAATGGGCAGTAAAGTATACGCTAGTGTCAGGATCACACACACACACACACACACGAGAGTGGCAGGGTGCCTTCGCTGCCACATCATCTTTGTGGATCCAGAGAGCAAAACTACACTTTTACACGTTCCTAATCGTGCAATAAGTATTTACTTTATTGTGTGTGTGGGAGTGTGTGTGCAATTTCTTGTTATTTGTTTGCCAGGCTGCGTATGGTGGCGTTTTTCATTCTAGGTCACTGCTGTAAAACTTAAAACAACACAGCAATAAACTAATTATTAGAAACCACACCACGTCCAGTTCGTAGAGGACTTGATTACAGTGTGGGCATTGGACACAAACAAGCAGCCTGTTTGCATAAAGCTGATGTAATGCAGTCAGAAAAGAGTAACCTGTAATCGACGTAATAACTAGAATAATATTTACACTGCATGTATACATGTCCGGCGCTAAGTACCAGCTTTTAGGTCTTTGCTGGGAACATTATGTGGTCTGACAGTTGGGACAAATTGGATATAAACATGTTGATGAAATGGCTCTAGGTGCGAGTTCTCTTTGCTCCAACGCAGAGGGGACACGTGCAGCGTTACAGCGTTACAGCAGGAGAGAGCCACAGCTTAGTGTTGCATATCTTACATGCGTTACAAAAAGTACTAAGTTATAATATAATAAACAATATGCTAAAAAAAGATTAAAAGTTACATAATTTTCAAAAATAAAGATCAAAAACAAATCAAATCAAATCCTGTAGCAGTTCTTAGGATTTAGCAGCCCGGATATATTAGTGATTAAAGATGGCATATGTATAAAAGCACATAGTTTGACGGTCTTGTTCAAATAACAGGTCAAAACTCGCCTTTTTATAACTGTTTTTAATGTGTATTAAATTGTATTTTTTCTTATGCGAGTCTGCAAACAATAGAATGAACAGAAAACTGATTCATGTCAACGTTGAAGCAGAACACATTTTCAGAGTGGCATCATTATTAATGTTATTATGTGTCGTCTATGTTAGGCGGATTATCCAGCGAAACAACTCATCGGAATTTGACTAAAATCACAACACGGAGAGGTGCAACATCCAAACTGCACGAGGCACGATGACTTTAGAATCGTCATGGTTTAAAATGTCATTCTGAATGAATATTGTGTTGCAGAGAAGTCCCAGCCTACAGATCGTACTCTACAGATTTAAGAACAAGTCTGTGTACTAAATATCTACAATAAACACAATCACGCCATGATCCAATTACTCAACTGTTCAATTCTAATTAAAAATAACTAGGCAATATTGTGAATCATATTACAATGTACATACAGTTGCAAGAAAAAGTGAACCCTTTGGAATGACCTGGATTTCTGCATAAGTTGGTCATAAAATGAGTTCTGATCTTCATCTAAGTCACAACAATAGACAAACACAGTCTGCTTCAACTAATAGCACACAAACAATTATATGTTTTCATGGTTTTATTGAACACACCATGTAAACATTCACAGTGCAGGGTGGACCCCTCGGCTAAAGACTTCTTCAAGAGCTAATTGGAGGAGTCAGCCAACCTGGAGTCCAATCAATGAGACGAGATTGGAGGTGTTGGTTAAAGCTGCCCTGCCCTATAAAAATACACTATTCTTAAGAAGCATTGCCAGATGTGAACCATGCCTCGCACAGAAGAGCTCTCAGAAGACCTTAAGAATTGTTGACTTGCATAAAGCTGGAAAGGGTTACAGAAGTATCTCTAAAAGCCTTGATGTTCATCAGTCCGGTAAGACAAGTTGTCTATAAATGGAGAAGGTTCAGCACTGTTGCTACTCTCCCTAGGAGTGGCCGTCCTGTAAAGATGACTGCAAGAGCACAGCGCAGAATGCTCAATGAGGTGAAGAAGAATCCTAGAGTGTCAGCTAGAGACTTAAAGAAATCTCTGGCACATGCTAACATCTCTGTTGACGAATCTACGATACGTAAAACACTGAACAAGAATGGAGTTCATGGGAGGACACCACGGAGGAAGCCACTGCTGTCCAGAAACAACATTGTTGCACGTTTGAAGTTTGCAAAAGAGCACCTGGATGTTCCACAGCACTGCTGGCAACATATTCTGTGGACAGATGAAACCAAAGTTGAGTTGTTTGGAAGGAACACACAACGCTATGTGTGGAGAATCCAAAGGGTTCACATACTTGTTCTTGCAACTGTACATCAAAAATAAATGCAAATAGGGTTTTTGCCCCAAATTGTTCCGTGGTAGTTTCTACACCTTGATGAACAAAGGGATGTAAGGTTCTCTGGACAATCAGCAGCACTTGCTCTGCAGGTATGGAGGTGTTCAATTACCGCATGGATTCCTCCCTGAAGGCGGGTAACTCAACCCACTGACTGACAGGTAATTAAGATACATTGCGGTGTTTGGTGACCTGGAACAGCTGGCAGAATGTGGCAGAATATGTTCAAAGAGAAATACTTTGGCTCCATTTCTGTGTGTAATTATATCACGTCAATCATCTTTATGCAACCAGGCGAGGGAGTGCCGTCATCCTTAACTGGTTTCACAGGCTTTGTTTAACACGGTGAGCTTTAAACAAAACTAAATGCATTCAAATGATATTTATTATAATAATAATATCATTTATAAAACCAAAAAACTTCCACAGTCCGCTGCTTTTCTCCGTCTTAAATTGTTAAATAAATGAAGCACTTTAATTTATTTTGTTCCGATCTTTATTTTGATTCAAAGTAATACAATGATTATTCAAAAGCTGTGTGTTTTTGTTGGGAGGGGTGCCTAAGTTGATTATGATCAAATGGAATAATTCGATGTATACGAACAGAGCCATAGCTAAGTGTGTTGGGTCTAAAGGTGTGTTTTGCTCCGCTCACCGGCCCCTCACAGCGGGCAGAGCTGCCCCTCCCTACTCGCAGACCTCGCAGACTCAAACCTCATCTCATGCCCAAATCCCAGCTGAGAGGGTCTTCTCTACAGCTGGCCTGATTGTGAATCGTCTCCGCTCCCCGCCTCTCCCCTGAGTAGACATGCTCATATTCTTAAACAGCAATGAGTATTGAATAGCTGCATTCTGTGCATAGGCCTGTTATAGGTTGCTGATCTCTGTTGTCATGGGTTACGTTACCCCTGTAGGCCTATAGCTGTCAACTGTTCAAACTGCGATCACCAGTTCAATACATTCGACTTGGTGTCTATACTTATTGGATGTATTTTTTTCAACATTTTTATTTTATTTTATTTTATAGGATACGTACATTTCGGTAAACCGGTTAACCGTTTTTTTTAGGGGTCGAATATTCGAATATACATTTGCTTTCAAATTCCCATGACCAAGTCGTTTTGAGCATTCGAAGTCTGACGACACCTACATTTACTGTTTCATTATTTTAGATTCATTATTTAGTAGTGGTTTATGCTTTTATTTGAAAGGTGGTTTCCGGCAGAGGATGATTCAGACACCTGGTAGGTGTGTATATATTGCAGACAGGTGTAGGTGGGGTTAGCGCGCCAGAATAGGCATATGGTTTTTTAGCAGGGGAAGACAAAAGGAGGCCACAGGAAAGGCAAAAAGGGCAAGATGTGGGAAAACCATTGTCGATGTAGTGTGGGATAATGGATCAGTGGAATATAACTGCAAAAAAAACACGTTCTTGTCTCTGGACTTTGGATCCTTTCTCCTGCGTCTGGTGCCATAGCGGCAGTTACATTTTTGAGTCAATTTCCCGTTTTATTTTTTATCATTTTGCTGCTACAGCGACATGAAAGGCATGAAGATTGGTTGGTGTGTTTCAGAAAAAGCGAAGGCATCTCATGATCTATTAAACCTGCTGCTCCCGTCTGATTTGCTACACCACCTGACAGTCAGTGTTATCGTATCTTTGCGGCCAAATTAAAAACCTGGGCATGATGTGCTTTGGCCCAGACAGACCTCTAGGAAGTCAGTCAGCCAGACGGCGGTTTAGGATGTGGTGAATTAGTGCGGTGGCGTAGATGTGTCTGGCTAACGGTGGTTTACTTCCTGTGATTAACCCGTGGAGAATGGCTGCAGGATATCCTTTCCTCTTCCTCATCGAAACCCTGTTCATTCCTCCTCCTCCTCTTCCTCCTGACTCACACATTCCACTCTCAGACCTCATCTTCTCCCAGACACAATGAAAGAAACGCAGCTGCAGCGGGACAGAATCAAGTTTCTAATTTGCCCCGGCTTCCTCTTTTAGACGAGCAGACGAGGAAGACTTTTTCCGGCACTGTCACATCTTTGCCATCCGTCCTCTTTGACCGGCTCTGAATATGTGACGGGCCCTTTTTTCTCAGCGTCTCAGGAAATTCTTCATCCTGCCAAGGTCACGGCTGGTAAAGACACACACAGCTTCGGCTCAGCTGGTTCTCAATTTACCCCGCTTTCTTTTTTTGGCATTCATGTCCTTTCCTTTCTGAAACCTTTTTTGTAAAAACCAAGAGGGAGCCAGCGGGGGGAGAATTATTTTCAATCTTGAGTGAACACACAACATCGCAAGAGAGTTAAAGGAGAGGGGAGCTTTTTACCACCTCAGAAGCAACAGTGTTAAGAATTTGAAGGCGTACCATTTTGTTCGCCCAACCTCCCTCAGATATGTGTCTAATTATCTCTACTCCTGTCAGGTATGACAAGAACCAGAAAACTGCAGAAGCTTGTTAAAGCGTCTTAAATCAAAATAAGGGCAGAGTTTTCTGTAAAAGCTGCCAAGGTGCCATGAACTATCTTCACATTTAAATCAATACTCGTGACGACCACGAACCGAGCCAAAGCAGTTTAAATACTGCGATT